CGTCTCCCAGAGCTCTAAATCTGCTGGAGACTGCTTTCTTGCAACTGCTCCTCTCAAGGAGCAAGTGTCTGGAGCACTTGTGGGCAATCTCAAGTCCTCTCCTTGTCTGGAGAGGAATTACGAAGAGCCGGTCTACTCACTGGCTCTTCATTCCACCACAATTGTCAGCTCCACTTTTAGCGGAGCCATCTTCAGTTCTCCATTTCCTCCCCAGAAGTCCATATTTGTGAAAATATACAGCAACAGAGTTAAATACATGGTATATACAATAAACTGGAACAATCCTAATACCAACAAATTTGGTAAACACCTTATGGAAATATATAAAATCTGGGTTTTGGTTTTGTTAAATACCTGTAAATATTCCAGGGAAAATACCTTGTTTGGTAAATATGCATATCTCAAGCTGAATAACACAAATAAATGGAGATATTAAAGGGGTTAGTGTCATGTTTGTGTGGGGAAAATATACAGAAAATGAATATGGCTTCAAAACTGAATACATATTGAGAGTGATGGCCATGTTGATTTCATATAGATAAGTTAAACAAATCCCTAAATTAATTGTTGTTGTTTTTTTATCATCAAATGGACAAACACCAAGGACTTATCTTTTAAGGCTATAAGCTTCATATGATAATGAGGCTTTTTCCTCCTGACTTTAAAATATATCACTGAATATATTTGTTAATTACAATAATAAAATGCAGTGAAAATTATACTGAATATATATAGTTCTAGGTCCTGCAAAGTTATTATTTGGCACCCCTGAAGACCTTAGTTCCATATGGTATAGGCATTCTATGACATTTCCAGCATTTAAAGTGGTTACATATAACTGAGCAATAAATTAACATTTCCCATGAGAAACTGACACTTTGGAGAGAGATACTGTACTAAAGGACAATGTGCCTATATAAAAAAACATTTTATCAATATTACTCTAATCTGTATAAAGGACTTGATACCCCCTTGGAGAAAACAGATGAATATCTTAGAAAACAAAATTTACTGAGGATTACAGACAAAGACAAATTATGAATGGACCTATAATGATAAGGGAAATCTCAGAAGCAATTAAAAAGAGTAAACCAGGAAAGATGCCTAGACCAGATGGACTATTGAGTTTGTATTATAAGTATTTTGAGGATGAACTTTTACAACCATTAAAAGTACAATGAATTTTATTCTTCAGGGAGGAAGGATACCAGAGACTTGGAAAGAGACCAATATAACATCAATAACAAAAAGGGACAATTTTTGACTTCAATAAGAAATTACAGACCAATATCATTATTGAATAATGACTATAAGTTGTTTACAATGATGTTAGCTGAAAGATTGAAAATAATTTTATTCATGAGGATCAGTGTGAGTTTTTTACCTAAAAGACAGCTGAAAGATAATGTGAGAACTGTGTTGCATATTTTGGAACAACATAATGAAAAACAAGCCACACTGATCTTTTTAGATGCAGAGAAGGCTTTTGACAATTTGAACTGGATTTTTTTAAGGTTTTGGAAGATATGAATTTTGGGGAGAATTTTATAAAATGGGTGAAATCGATTTATACTTCACAGATAGCACAAATAATCATTAATGCAGATTTAACTAAATCATGTGAGATACAAAAAGGAACAAGACAAGGTTGCCCACTGTCTCCTCTTTTATTTTAGTTCTTGAAATATTAAATAGAGATATAAAGAAGATTTGAGAATCACAGATGAAAAGATTAAAAAAGAGTCATACAAGTTAAGAGCTTTCGTGGATGACTTGGTTTTGAATTGAACTTTAATTAGTAAATTAAGAGAATTTGGGGCATTAACAGGCTTTAAGATTAATAAACAGACATTAACAAAAAATATGAAGCTACAAGACCAAACACAACTGATGAATAAGATGGGTTTCAAGATTGAAAAGAAGGTAAAATATTTGGGTATAATTATGACAAATATGAACTGTATGTTATTTCAAAATAATTATGTTAAGACATGGAATGAAATTAAAAAAGATATGTCAAGATGGGACACAGTACAATTGCCACTGTTGGGAAGAATTTCTGTGATTAAGATGAATGTTTTACCCAGAATGCTATTTTTGTTTCAGAGAATATCTGTTTTGATAACTGATGTACCATTTAAACAATGGCAGAAGAATATATCTAAATTTGTATGGCAAAGGGAAAAAAACACAAGTTAAATATAAGGTACTACTAGATGCAAAGGAAAGAGGATTGGACTTACCAGATTTGAAACTATATTTTGCTCCTTGCTGTTTAGTTTGGATGAAAGAGTGGGTGTTGTTAAGAAATAAAAGGTTATTAGATTTAGAAGGTCATGATTTGAGATTTGGGTGGCATGGTTATCTGTGGTATGATAAAGCTAAGGTGAATTTAGACTTTAAAAATCATTATTTTAGGTGGGCTATTCCTAGCATATGGAATAAATATAAGCTCAGATTTTGCCTGAAAACACCTTTATGGCTTTTAGCGCAAGCAGCATTTTATAGACTAAAAATGATAAACAAACATAAATAGTCAACCTAACGAGATGTACTAGAATTTTCTCAAGGGGATTGTAAAATGAAATAAAGAGATTTGATAACGGAAGTATATTCTTGTCAATGGTTTTCTTATATACAATTAACAGAAAGGTTTTAAGTGGATAAAAGATTTTATAGTTTTGAACAAAGTAAGACTGAGTTTGAAATAGAATTAAGTACTAATAATGAACATGTTATTGGTAAAATGTATAAACTTTTGCTGAAACATGAGACAGAAGAAGAAGAAGTGAAAGAATGCATGATAACATGGGCTAAACATTTTGACTATAATATACAAATGGACCAATGGGAAAATATGTGGTTGAAAGGACTGAAATTTACATTATGCTCTAGCCTTAAAGAGAATTTTTACAAAATGATGTATCGTTGGTATCTGTCACCAGGGAAATTGTCTAGAATGTATAAAAGTACTTCGAATCTTTCTGGAAATGTGAACAACATGAAGGGACATTTTATCATGTTTGCTGGACATGTAAAAAAGCCAAAAAATTTTGGATACAGATATATGCATTAATTCAGAAGACTTTAAAGGTTAAAATACAACTGAAACCAGAGACTTTTCTTTTGGGACTAATGGACAAGCTATTAGAAAAAAGTCATGGAACTTTGTTTTTATATATGACAACTGCAGCAAGACTATTATATGCTCAAAATTGGAAAGGTTTGACACTACCTACTGTAGAGGATTGGTTGGTGAAGATGATGGAACTTGTGGAGATGGCTAAATTATCGTCTTTGATCAGAGAAAAAAACGATTATCTACATTTATGGTTGACTGGAAAACTCATAGACTTTTTGCATGAAACAGAAAAAAATGTACTTATGATTTGTAGTTTTGATTAGAAAAAAATTGATAATAGAAAAAAGTGAACTTTTTTTGTAATGATAGAGTAAGAGATAATTTTGCAATTGTACTTATATTTATTTATCATATTTATACAGCTGTATTTATTTGCTGCAAAGGAAATCAGAAGCTTCTTCTATTTTTTCTTTTTTACTCTTTTTTCTGCACTTTTGCCCTTTCTCTCTTCTTTCTTCTTTACTGTTTCTACTCTTTAGTAGTTTGTTTTTTATGTGCTTTGTAAAACTTTTAATAAAAAATTATTTTTAAAAATTGACACTTTGAAATAACCTTTATTTAAAAGTGGCAGAAAAAAAATATTTTGGGGGGAACTATAGGTGGAATATGGGATAGTTAGTTTTAAAACAATTGAAATAATTTATTACTAACATTTTTTTAAAATCATAAAAATAAATTTGGGAAATATATTCCAAAAAACTGTTTTACTGTCCTTTCCATGTTGGAGAACTTTGAAGTACTTTAGTGTATATGCTTTGTCATCTCCTTTGGCTGTTCCTTTCTGTTTAGCTGAACCAAGATTTTTGGGGAGCAAATTAAGTTTTAAAGACATTAATGTGTTGTTAAACCATAAGCCTTAAATCTGGAATCTAACCACTTCTGAAGACCTTTCCCTGGATTGTGCCTGGATACTTCAGGTTTTTTTTTCTTCTCAACAAAATTTCCATTTTATCAAAGCTTACTAAATTTGGAAAAATAATTTTAGATACAGATACACCAACTGAAGAGTTAACATGATCTGGAGCAAAAAATCTTGCCATTAACAGGATTAAAAAGAATTTTGGAAAAAGATCTGGAAACTGGTATTGCTGAAAGGGACTGGTGTAGGACTTATGTTTACAAATCTGTATTTTCATCCTCTGCTTAAATTAGAGAAAACTGTATTAAAATAATTTACGGACAATACACAATTCTAGTGAAAATGACATATAATTAAAAATAATTTATGCTTTGCTGGAATAAATGCAATGAAAAAGGCCCATATTTTCATCTATGGAAGATGCACTCATTGATCAGATATTTGGCTAGAAATATTAATTAAAAATAATTTTTAAAAATCTAGAGATTGGGTGATTTATGTGTTGGCAGCAGCAAGAATGGTGATAACCAATAATTGAAAGCATGAAATTTTACCCTTAAATGAGTGGTATAAGAAGCTTTGATATATAACAATAGCAGAGAGCACAATCTAAACCACATGCCTTCTTTGCAATATGACAAGATTTAGTATCCTTCATTAACCAAGAAACTATAGTAAACAATACTGTGCTTGCTATACTCTGATATGGAACAATATATGTTACTAATAAAGAGCCAGAAGGCAATGGTTTGAAAGCCAGCAGACAATGGTTTGGACTGGTAATATTTATAATAATAAGTATAATTTTGTAATATAGACAGTTACGGTACATGAATATTTATATGTGCTATGAAGCCATGTTATGTTTTTAAAACTTTTTAAAAAATAGATACTAGTCAATTTTCCTATCAAATGAAGCACATTTTAATGTATGAATACTTTTTGTCAAAATAAAAATAAAAATCATATCAAAGTAATTTATATCAAAATTGAACTTACCTCAAAATAGTCACTAATTTTGTGTCCACGTGCCCCAATGCTTTTCCCTGAAACAAAATCAAGATTAACAAAAAGACAGTGGGAAAATTTTAAAAACCATAAACAATGTAGCTTATATTTCCTAAGATTTTCCTTACAGCATATTCCTTTTAACTTGGCAGGTATTTAAATAAAATTTCCCTAAGCATGCCTACTTGAGAAAGGGAAGTATGAGGAACAATCTAGTTTTGCCAGATTTATTCTTACAACTGCCTTAAGTCTTATAATGAAGTTTAGCTGAAGTTTTAAGATAGCACCAATTAGTTTGCTGCAGAAAACAAAACTGCAATTCTTGACTAACAGATTTATAATAGCATGAATTTTTATATGGAGTAGCTTACTACTTCTGTATGGCTGGCCAACCATGTTCTTATTCTAATAATTGTAATTAACTTCTATTGTACATACTACCTTTCCAAACTCTAAATATACTTAGAAGAATCAATTTAGGGAGCAAAGAAAATGTCAGCAGTTGTATTAACATTTTAACTTCTGAGGAAACTAGCAGCATGAAAGCAACAGATTAGTTATTTATTAGTTATGGTTCTTACAAAACTAAAGCACTGTAATTTTTATTTCTATCAAATGTTATGATCTGCTTGAACCTGAGAGCTCACAGCAAGACCTTAACAAACTCCTCCAAAGCAAAACTTATAGACCAGTAACTAGCATTCAATCCTGACTTAGATGTTCAACTGGTTATTTGTTGTGACTATTTGCTGACAGTTCCTCCGAGGTTAAACATTACGAGATTCCACTAACATTTCAGGCCTGGCTCTGGAAACAAAACTGCACTGGTTACTCTAAGGGACAATCTTTGCCAGGAGACAGACAGGGAGAGAATTGCTTTATTATTTCTTTTGAAAATAATGGTGGTCTCTAATAGCATCAATATGGTATTATTCTGGACAGGTTAGCAGAACTGTAGTTCAACAGTTCTGTTCTAATGTGGACAGCTGACTCCAGAAACTAGTGCAGAATGGTGAAGCCTTGTGTTGGGTTCCACAGGATTTATTTTAGTTCCCACACTATTCAACATTACATGAAGCGGTATGGTAAGGATATCTGAAAATAAATTATTCTGGAAACCCAGAATGGGATGTTATCAGTATGAGGGTATTCCAGCTCATCAAATCCAAATGAGGTAATAAGTAGATTGGATCAGTGCCCAGGCAGGAGTGCTGACCAATAATTCAAAACTCAATCAAGACAAGATGCTTGTGTTGTTTAGGAGTTATTGGTGAATGGGCTTATTGTATTTCGGAGAGGTTCGATTAAATAGAACAGGTTTGCAATAAGGTGTTTTTTGAATGGGTCTGGCATTGCCCATTCATAGTTTCTGAAGCTTAACCCAATGTACAAACTGCAAATCTATCCTGATAGAAATAACTCTGCTGCATTTACTTATAGACTGATAAACTCACACCTGAGTTGTCACAACATGTTATATCTACAGCTATTTCTGAAAATGTTCCAGAAATATCTGCTGGTTGACAATAATTCAGTAAGATTTTTAACTTGGACTGCTCCATAGGATCACAGTATGACAGTAGTTCATCAGTTGCATTGGCTTTCAATCCAATATGATGTTCTAGTCTTAAACTTTAAAATTCTAAATCATTTGGCAACAGGTTATCTGAAAATTCTCAATTTTTCACATACATCTTTCTGGATTTAAATTAACATTTTAAACTCTTATTCTGGGTAAACATGGCAAATGATGTGATGGGAGGGTACTGAGAAGTTGACCATTTATTATTACAGGATATCTTTCCCATACCGGATTGCATACCACATATGTTACAATCTACTATTTATTTTTTTTAGAACTTTTAATCTTCAAAGATATTTCAGTTTCAAGTTCTGTAAAACTGTTGATATCACTATGATTTTGCTCTCAGCTAGTTAACTATCTTCTTTTTGGTGTTATGTTACATTAGAATTATTTATTTATATGGCTTATTTATTTATATATCTGATCTTCAATTTAGTTTTTGGCAGTTTAAAATTATAGCAACTAAGCCACAAACATTTTCTTAAAGCTAATTTGTAGACAGCACTGAAACTTCAAATTTGTTATGAAAACTTGTTCTCTTTCAGATGGTGAAAAGCATGCAGCTGCATTGTTATGGTTACAAATACATTTTAAGCCTTGTGCTATATTTAAATACACAAGTTGGTTTTGAAAAAATTGGTAAGTATGAGCAGTCACATTTCATCTAAAACATCACATTTCCCAAAGTGCATATTATGAACTAAATTAACAATGAAGCAACCAGATAGAATTTCTGAAATTTTGAAATTTTGTATTTGTACAAAATACTATTTACCAATTATAGAATTAAAAATGTCTAATCAAAATCCTCAACTTGAAAACATTTTCTTCTGATACTTCATGTGTTTTTGCTATTACAAAAGAATGAGACTGTGATTCTTTGTAGATGGCAATGAGCATGCCATAAATGCCTACTAAAAGAAGTATACCAAAACAACAAAAAACCCAACCATGCAGTCCATTCTCTTCCAAAAGGAGGTCAGTTAAAAGGCCTGAAATCCTATAAAGCTAGAACAATCTTCACTTAATGCCATCTTGAGAAGCTTTTTTCTTAAGTTAACATTTTATCATTCCACAAAATATTTAAAATATTTAAAGGAAAAATATGAACATAATGTTGATAATTTACCTGGGCAATCATAAAAGTAAAGAGCCATTCAAATGGTTTTGAAACCGTTCAAAGTACTGTTTGGATCAATAACATAATGACAACTCTGATAGACATCAATTCTTCTGTAAAATTAATTATGGGTTTTGTTTGTTTTGTTTTTGGCAACCCAGCTATGAAAGGTAGATGTGAATAATTAAAGGAACCATGAAACAAAAAGAGATGATGTGATTCACAACAATGCCAATATGGCATTTTGATCAGCTGACAACTTCCACTCATACTATCAAACTGATTCAATGCTGTATATATCATACCTTGACTGCTTTCACTCTGGTTTTCTGCTTTCCTTTTTCTACCCCTAGAAGACTCCAATTGTTTTTTCTCAGGAGTCTGCCAAAAAATTAAAAAATGTTTTTCAATAAATAAGAGCTAGCGACTAGTCTGCATGTATCTGTATCAAAAAGAAGCAAATTACGTATTTACCATATGTGAGCAATTACATAATTACCAAGATTATGTCATTGTATTGGCACACAGAATTTATCTTAGATATTTTAAATTAAACATAAAAGGCTTGTATAGAAATACTGAAAATATCCTTAAATATTGTCTCTAAACAAATACATCTATTCTGTTATAAGCAAAAGACATTAAGGGCTTTTACGCACAGCTCATTTAAAGTCCTTTCCATTTGTTATGGAATTATACATTTATTCTGACAAAAGAAAGAAAAATTGGAAACATGCTATATTGACAAAGAATGCAGCACCCACAATAGGGTATAAACTACATTAGTCGCTCTTGTCTACCAGCATATGGACTGCTGCATTTTGTACCAACTAAAGTTTCTGAATAGTCTTCAAGGGCAGCCCTAAGTAGACTGCACTGCAGAAAGCCAATCGCAAGGTAATAAGACTATGAATAACTGTCAATGAGGATTCCTGCTCTAAAAAGGGACATAACAGGAAGACCAGCTGGAGATAAGCAAAATGTCCCATAGCCACAGCCTCTACCTGGTGGTCCAATAGGAGCCGCGAATCCATGACAATTCTCAAGTTATAGACCTGGCCCTTTAAGAAGGAAGCATATTAACAATATCTCACCCTAAACTGATGGATAACCTATCTCAGCATTTCAACATAGCTATTTAAAAACATGGAGAAAAAAATGAAACTCTATAGTAGCCCATATAGGAGCAGCCAAGGCTTTGATCATTCATCAATCATTACTACTGTTTGAACTGCCCACTCAGGTAAGAGTGGAATCACTAGAAAATTATGCCAATGCCAACCCTTGCAGCTGATCCAGAAGGATATTATGATCTATGGCACTGAATGCCACTGAGACGTCTAACACCAAGACAACTGTACTCCCTTATTAAGAACTTGACAGAGGGCATTAACAAAAGTGAGCAATGCACCTTCCATCCCACATCCAGGTCTGAGATCTGAATGCAATAGGTTAGGGTAATCCATCTCATCTAGCACTCTTATATCTGTATTCCAACCACCTTTTGCAAAATCTTCCCTAAAAAGGGAAGATTCAAAACAAAGCATAAGTTGCCCAGCCTAGTCAGATCTATAGATAGTCTCTTCAGGCAGGAATGTGCCACCACATCTTTCAAGGCTATAATATCCCTCTCTTAAGGAGTCATTAATCATGACCCAGATCCAACCATTCCCTCAACTTTCACTACTTGACAGAGCCAGGTGGCAAGTTTCCAGCCCACAGGTCACTAAATTCATAGTTCAGCATGGAATCCCCCAGGATCTGCAGTCAAAGAGAGGGCACAGCTGGGTGTGTGTGTGTGTGTGTGTGTGTGAGAGATTTTATTTATTTATTTAAAAGTTTTATATGGCTGCCCATTTTATTCAATATGACCCTGGATGGCTAACAACAGCAACAACAGAAAAATAAAGCAAGAATCCCATAGAATTAAAACCATCACACTCAATCAAAGCACCATAGCACTCCTATGCTTGCAGAGAGTTATAGAGTTAAGGAAAATGATCTTGATGGAACTAAACTAGAACTATTACCTAGGCAAAAGGGCTAAAACATTTTTAAGTCCAGAGTTATCAGGTTCAGCCCAAGAACAACAGCGAGACAATCCAGAATCAGTTCGGCTCCTTTATTGGCTTACATCTAATAGACAGAATCTTGCCAGACTAATTCTAATCCCCAACAATAGCAACTATAACCATGATGCCCTTAGGGAGGGGCCAGTCTCCTTCTCTTGACTTTCCCCCACTCTGGCTGGGGGCTGAGGAGATGCTTTCCCTAGAACCTCTCCTCTCCACTCATGTCTTCCATCACAAGAATAAAGAGAAAACATTTGGAAGCAACTCAGGCAGATATATCCCTAATTCAATGGATTATAAGAAGGATGATAGGTAGAGAACAATCAGACTTGCAAGATTTTGTTATTATAGCCAATCTCAATAAAAGTAGTTTTAGCCTTCCAGCAGAGTTGATTTCTTGGTCTGATTAATCTGACCTGGGCTCAATTCCCATCCTGTCCCAGTGCATGGGGGAAGAACCAGGTTCAATGCCCTCACTGTCTCCACATTTTAGAGGTCAACAATTGTTCATGACAGAACTGTGTGCCATATTGTAGGAAAATCCCCAAGTGCCCACTGGAACATAGGAGTTGTTTAAAATAAATTTATGCTCTTCCAAGGCAAGTAGAACTGGTTCATTCTTCAAATGCAGCATTATCTACATTTAATATTCAAATAGTTTGAACAAAATTACAAGGCAACAGAAATTAATGTTCTTGCCATTTTCAAATTACTACTGTGGTTTGAATCCCAATGCTTCAACTGATAGAACTGTTTTTATTAGCTGAACTAGGAGAGAGAAGAGAGGGTAGTTGCCTCTTTTTCCTACAACCTCACAAGTACCATTAAAATCTATTCCTACAGGATTTGGGAATCTTTCAGAATAGATCTGGGGTTAAGAAGCAGGAGGAGGAGGAAAGTCTACCTGTGAGAAGCCTGATATTACCCTGCAATCTTAACATACGTAATCAATACCTAAATAAATTGGAACCATTTACTAAATAGACTGCTTAACCAGAGCATTTTTCAATATTTTCTAAATCTTGTTTTCAAAGTTTTAGAAATGTGAAAATTTCCTCATAGGTGATAGATTGAAAAGGTGTTAAATCACAACAGCAGAAATACTGATGTACAGAAAGATACTTCTTTTATTTACAATACTTAAAGATAAAAAATGTTATTAATTACCTTTAATCTAAAAATAAAACTTTCAGGTATTTGATCAGACTGGATTGTATCCATAACAGTACCCTGAATAATAAACCAGTAATCTTGTAAAACACATATATCCTTTTATTCATCCAATGGCCTAAAAAAAGCTTAAGGTACATAGTTTATTCACTTTATTCTCTCCTATATGATGTGCATATGTGTATGTGTATTCTTTCCTACATAACTATTATATTAAGAAAATTTGAATGGCTCATAATTTTATCCAAGCATATACTTTTACAGGATACTATGTAAAATTTTATTTGCTTAAAAAATAATCAGTTAATTCACAATGAAACAATACATTATTCAGAAATAATCCTCCTGTAAGTGCATCAATTCTGACAGGAAGTGCACCAGTTTTCTCCATGTCTTTAATGCAAATATTCTAATTATAACTGTACAGGAAACCCTCCTGTATGTGCCTATCTTTTACTGAGCCCAGTTATACAAATGACAGACTCATGTTAGAACTGGTCACTTAAATATTTTTAAGTATTCCATACCTCAGATTCTTTATCACTTAGAGATCCCAAGCTGCCAAAACTGTGGTTAGAACTCTCATTATTTGTTGAGGCCTAAAGAAATAAAAGCATCAAACGTATGAAATTGCTAATTATATACCAAATAATGCATTACTATTAGATTTCATGGTTTGAAAAATCACATATGTAGAAAGAGAGTTGTAGCAGTAACAATTGCAATTAATTATACAGGATTATGTGAAAAATGAGATTCTACATGTCAAATGTATTTACATTTACATTTTATACTACTTTTCATTAAAGAAGGAAAATCATTTACAATAATGATAATAGATGCAATGAAATATTGGTTAATAACAGTAAAACTAACAATTTAAAACCAACAATTAAAAACAAGGAAACAATTGGGGCAGCTGATACAATCACATTAAGATCTAGGTAAATAAAAACATTTTCAGTTTCTTGCGAAAAAACTCCACAATAAAGGCCAGCCTAATCTCACTAGAATTTTATCCAATAAATTGGGCAACAGTAAAGAGAATACCCTCTCCTCAGCAACCCATGGTTTGGTCAGCAGTGGAGTCTGCAACATGCCAAAATGGTGCAAAAATGAGGACACATGAAATAATGTTCTTGACAGAAATCCCACCCTTGATAGTCAAATATGTTTTGAGACTGATCACATGATTGCCAAGATATATAAAATATTATTACAATTAAAACTGAAAGATGTACAAACTAAAGATTATATGATCAAGTGGGTAAACAATTTTGGATATAACATTGAATGTGACCAATGGGAAAGGATGTGGACTAGGGGACTTAAATTTACATTGAGTTACAACCTGAAAGAAAACTTTTACAAAATGATGTATAGATGGTACATAGCCCCTAAACAAAAATGTTTAACAATACATCAAATATCTGTTGGAAATGTGGAAGGGAAATAGGTACATTCTATCACATGAGGTGGTCTTGCATGAAAGCTAAAAATTTTTGGACATTAATACACAATAGTATCCAAAAAATGTTGGCAATAGATATAGTTAAAAAACTGGAACTATATCTACTGGGTTTAATGGACAAAGTACTCGAAAAGAAACATGGAAAGCTCTTGCTGTATCTGATAACTGCAGCACAGATTATTTATGCTTCATGATGGAAGGAAGAAAATATCCCAACAATTGAAGAATGGACTATTAAGACAATGGACCTAGCTCAGATGGCTAAACTTATGGATCAGTTAAATGACAAGAATATGGATGATTATAAGAATGATTGGCGACCTTTTCTTAGA